GGACGGTTTTTAACTCAGGTCCCAAGCATAGATTTTAAAAGTTATGCTCAGAAAACCAACTCTTTGGGGACTTGCCAAGTCTCCCACTGATCCTGGAGGTTTTTGTGATATTTCTCCGCTTATTCACTTCTCCAGCTGCTGGAAACATGTTTATGTTAAAACACAGATGAGAGAAAAATCTCTCCTAGGAGAGAAAAAAAAACCTACAAAGCCCCAGTGGGAACACAGGGGAAGAGTTGTGACCCATTTCCCTCCTTTTTTAAACTCAAGAGGGTTTGTTTTTAAGTCTGACCCCAGTTTGTGCAGATGGGTGAGCAGCAGCACTGATTTCAAATTCCTCAACCCATACTGGGAGGAGGAGAGACCCATACTGGAAAGCCCAGCCTCCTTTTTCTCCCTCTTTTTCTAGCCACTATCACATGAGGACATCACATGAGGATATCACATGGGGACATCATCACTCCAGCTGTTCTCATCCCTCCCATAAACAGCCTCCTGCAGTGGGATGGAAGAAAAATTATTTTTCAGGAGCCAGGAGCTGACTCAGCCAGAGTTTGCTCTCAAAAGTCACCCCACCTTTTCCTAGCCACCAATTTTATTTTATTTTATTTGTCTTTCGGGGGGGATTTTTTCCCCCTTTTTTCTTCTATTTTTTCTTGATTCATTTTTCTTTTTTCCCTTTTTTCTTTTTCCCCCTTTTTTCCTCTTTTCCTTTTTTCCCCTTTTTCTTTTCTTCCTTTTTTTCCTTTTTCTTTTCTTCCTTTTTTCCTTTTTCTTTTCTTCCTTTTTCTTTTTCATTTTTTTTCTTTTTTTTTTTCTTTTTTTTTCCTTCTTCTTTGAGCAAAATAAACCACCAGCGACTCACAGAGGAATCACAGTCCCTGCTGGTGGCACGACTACTTTCTTAAGCCTTATCTTGAAGAAGCAGGCATGCGAGCTGGAGCCCAAGGAGCAGTTGTCCCTACCCGAAACATCTCACCTCCTCAACTTACCCAGTGTCATCCAGAGGCTTTTATTTCCTTGTAGGACATTATATCAGCAGCCAGCAGCTGGGCCTGGAGCTGGATAACGATGGTAATCACCCACCCTAAAATCATCATCCTGCTTAGGAAGTGAGCAGAAGATGTGGTGTCTCTATTAAATGCAAGTTGGCTCAGATTAAGAGCTTTTCAATGCAATCCAATTAACTCTTAAATTAAATTGTAATGCTACGGCTAATATACAGCCCCCAGCACAGCCCCTCCAATGCATGGGAAGGGAGTTCAACCTTGGTTTAATCAGATAAAACCCGGCTTATTTACTGCCTCTCCCTGACTGGTGCGTCCTGCCAAAGTGCGGTGGCTAAAAATCTCTGTATTTCTCCTGGAAATACCTGTAAATCCCTCAGCAGTTTGGGTTCCCCATGGAACCACTGTGATTTTGGAAGTAAAAGGAAAAAAAAAACAGTTTTACCCACTAAACCACCTCCCTAGATGTTGTCCTGAGGATGGGTTTGGGTACCTGACGTTGTTCCCCAGCCAGTACCCATGTTCCAAGGTTGATGGGGACACTGAGTAAAGCAAATGAAGGCGTCATTATTGATGGTTTTATCAGCTTTTGTTACAGAAAAGAGGGGAAAATGAGATTTTTTTTTTTCCCTCTGATCTTCCTAAGCTGCTGCAGTATTTTTTTTTTCTCAGATATGTAAATCTGAGCTTATCCCATCTTCATAACAATTAAGAAATCAGGCTTAACACTCATCCAGGGACGTGTTATTTATTGAGCTGGAGGGAGATTGTGTTGCAGAAGAGGCTGGTGCGCTGCCAAGGGCTCAAACACCACCGTGCTCACAAGTGAAATGAGTTGGCCCATCCTCAGCCTCCCTCCAGGGTGCATTGCTGTCCCCTCCCTGGCCAGGGACAGGGTCAGATGCTGCCATGCAGATGCAGAATCCTCTGGAACACCCCAATTTTGGCCATTTTTGTTCCCTACCTGCCTCCCGCAGAGGTTTATTGCCACCCTCCCCTCTCCTCCCTTTGCTCTGTGCTGCTCTGTCTGGAGATGAATCGATTCCAGCATCAAAGCATCACACAGCAATTTGTTAAATAAATAATTAAAAAAAAATAAAACTTGGCCTAAGCAAATACAGGAAGGAGGGAGGGGGCTGGGATGAAAGGCTCTAAAGGCAGAGGAAGCTTCAGAGGCTTGGAAATAATGGAGAAAAAAAATATATTAAAAAATAAATAGTGAGTGCCAGGATTTTCAAAGCTTCCATCATTTCAGATGTGGATTCCCAGCCTTTCATCCCAGACCCCCGTGGGAAGGAGAGGCGCAGCTATCTCCAGGTGGATTTGAGATAGGAGGTATAGGGGAAAATATGTCCAAATCCCCTTAACCCTGCCCCTGCCCCTGGAGGCATGCTGCCTGCTGGGGAGCAGGAGCTGGGACAAGCAGAAATTTGGGATGGTGGGTGTTTGAGCAGCATTGAGCTGGGATTAAAGGCTGGGAATGGTCACTTAAACCAAGTGCAGTCCCATGCACTATTGATGGAGCAGATAATTGCATGCTTCCCACCGGCTCTTTGATGAAAAATTGATGGCATGGGACAAGGCTGCATCGACCCACGCCAGCCCCTTTGGTTCCTAACAAACACCCAAGGAGAGGAGGATGCAGGAGGCAGGAGAACCTCTGTGGGTGCCCTGAAAGGCTGAGCTACTGCAGGGAGGAGTTGCTAAGAAGAAGGTTGTGTTGTAGCAACACAACCCCATGGAGATCCCACATCACCTAAATCCCTTTGCCAGCAGAAAAGATCTGGGGAAAAAAAACACCTTTTCTCATGTCGCAACCCTCCAGCAATGCTGTGAGTCCCCCAGCCAGCTGCTCGGGTGGTGACATGGGGACAGGATATTTGCTCAGGGGTGGTAGAGTTTGTTTGGGTCAGGTAGAGCCTGGCAACCTGCTGATGGGATGGGCTAGCTGCCGGGAACAGGGTGCTGAGGGGACTCCAGGAGAAGGATGATGCTGTACTACAGACCCTTCTCCTCCACTGTGAGTGCTAGAGGGTGGCAGGTGGGGATGGGGACATCACCTTGTCACTGGTGTCCCCAGCAGGAGCTGAGGACCCAGAGGTGTCCGTTAGGTGACAGCACTCAGTTGGGGTTGCTTTCAGGGTTGTTTTCAGTCATGCCCAAATTTCTTCCCAAGGGTGCATGGCTCAACGGTCCAGCCAGGAGATGCTGCTCAGACCCAGGCATTTTCCAAGCATCTCCATCCTCAGGAGAAGGTCTCCCAGCCCTGTGGCCACAGCATGTTGTGGTGTTGAGGAGGTCACTGCTCCTCTCAGAAGGCTTTCCCCAGCCTGCTCCTCATCCTCACCCTCTGCTCTGATGTCTCCTGCCAGCTCCACCGAGGTAATGTGTCCTTCCCAGCGGATGATGCCATGGCCAGCATCCTGCCTGGAAAGCAGCCTTTCCCACATGGGACAGGAGAACCATTGGAGAAGCACAGGTACAAGGGCCATGTCAGCTTTGGAGCCCCCTCTTGGCTCCTTCTTCTCGTCCTTCTTGGGGTGGTTTCCTCCTTTCTCCATTCTCCCTATGTTTTCCCCAGCAGCACCTTCCTCCTCATCTCCCCTCTTCCTGCACCTCCATCCCCACTGGCATTTGCCTTGCCCTCCAGCACCCCAAAGAGGCTCCTATGTCCAATGGAGGGTTCCTTGGCCAAGGCTTTGCTGGTGTTTCACTCCATCAGCAGCAGTTGGCCAAGGGTGTCCCCCCACTCTCTGCTCCATAGGTCCCAGGACATCACAGGGGACCACCAGGAGCTGGTGAGTGCTGGGGAGACTGGAGGAGAGGGGGACAATGGGGGGGGACAGCAGTGTCTCCAAGGCAGGTCCTGGCTCCTGTGGGGACCACAGCAGGGTTGCTGTTGGCTCTACACTGCTGGTGAGTTGAAAGCTGGGGTGAGGAGGTCAGTCCTGGAATTTGGCTGGAAGGGGCTTTATCTGAGGCATGAACCAAGTCCTGGATGAAACAGCTCTCAGGCAGATGGGGAGGAAGGAGCCAGGCCTCTGGCAGCACCTGCCCCCCCTTTCTCCCCTTTCCCAAGGTTGCGTGATGCTGTTGCACCCCCTCCTCCTGCCCTGCACCCCCCCCGCCAAGGCCATTCCCAAGGCTGGCAGCGGGGGCTGGGGGAGCTGGAGGCACGCACTGCCCCTGGCCAAGGTCCCCGCTGCCAGGAGCCCAACGTGGGATCCAGGAGGGTCAGCTGGAGCCGTTGCAGGGCTTTGCCTGCAAAGATACAGACTCTCAGGGAATTATTTCCCCCCAGCAACACCTACTAAGGAGTTCCCTGGCCACACGGGTGCCAAAAAAACCCCAGGCTCATCTGTAGAAAACATTCATCTCTCTTTGCTGCCTCCCTTATTCTGAAGACCTGCTCAGTGCTTGAGGTTGCCCCCCAACTCTGACATTGCTCCATCCTACATCCTTGGGAGAGTGGCTTTTCTCCCAAGAGGGTGGTAGGAAGAGTTGGGGAAATGTGAGGGGAAGTCTGTGAGGTGGAGAGAGAGGTGGGCAGGTGGAGAGAAGAAGGTTTGGAGGGACAGGAGAGAAGGATGGATGGTTGGAGAAGGATAGATGGATGGATGGATGGATGGATGGATGAGGAAGAGAAGGATGGATGGATGTTGAGAATAAAAGATGGATGGGCAATAGAAGGATGGATGAGTAGAGAAGAGAAGGATGGACGGATGGGGAAGAGAAGGAGGGAAATATGGATGGATGAATGGATTGGGGAAGAGAAGAATGGATGTATGGCTGAGAAGGATGGATGGATGGAGAATAGAAGGATGGATGGATGTTAAGGATGGATGAATGCAAGAGGAAGGAGAAAAGTGGATGTTTTTTAGTTCTTCTATGGTGGGTCTGACCCTCAAGACAAATATCCTCAGCTGAGCCCTTGGTGTGGGGGACAGCCCAGGCAGGCAGCAAGGTGCCAGCAGATCTGCTCTGGGCTGGCAGGAGGGGAGCAGCTACCGCCTGGCGCTGAAGCGGATGGCAGGGGACCTCCTGTCCCTGCGCCAGCATGTCACCAGCCTGGAGGTGGAGAACGGGCACCTGCGACACAGCCTGGCCTCGCAGGAGGAGCTGGGCCACGCTCTGCTTGATGATGTGGACCTGGACGTCATGACCCGGGAGGAGCTGCTGGACAGGCTCAGTGCGTGATGGGGAAGGGGAGGAGGGTGGAAGTTGGGGGACACCTCTCCCTGGCACAGCGGAGGGGACCACACTATCCCCTGGCCACGTGACAAGAACATGGCATGGGCTCTTGCAGCCACCCTCAAGCGCAAGCTGGTGGCCGGCACAGAGGCGATGAGGAGGCTGAAGGACTGTGTCCAGCGATTGCAGAACGAGCTGATCCGGGTATGGACGCTGGCAGGAGTGGGCAGGGTCTGCTCTGGGGATGGGGTGGGGGTGGAGGAGCAGGGTGGTGGCAGGGAGACCATCATGGTACCCCCACAACCAGGCAAGTGCCTGAGAACCCCAGGACCCCCACCACAAGGCTCTCCTGGCCCTACAAGTGATGCTCCTAGGCTTGAGACTCAACACAGAGGTCTCTGGGAGTTTTACCCCTTCCTGTCCCCTAGAAAAATGACCGGGAGAAGGATCTGGTGCTGCTCCAGCGAGCCCACCAGCAGCAGCAAGCTGCGTTGAGGAGGTACCAGGAGAAGGTGGCCAAGACGAAGGGCTTGGAGGAGATCG